TTGCATGGGAGCATCATGTCCTCTACCTATCCACTTATTGGGGTATTCCTGATGTAAAAAGTTTCGGACGGCTACAGTAAAATGAGGAGGGGCACCATCATGCATGAACCACATGTTTCCGCGTAGCTCCAAAGGTACGTCGTCCAATAAATCTGGCACAGTATTTTGAATATGTTGCAAGTAACTATCGCCATTTAATCGTTGAGGTAAAATTACAGGACCAACAATAAAAGTATCAACGATTCCTGCCCAAACATTAATCTTGAATTCGTGTTGATAATGGCTAACTTTACATGCATGCGGATTCTCATCTGCATACACATGTTCATTATGTAGGTTTGTTATGCCCCTTCTTGTAAAGCAAGCTTCATCGGTAAATAAAATGTTTCGGCAAAAATTCTGATTTCGAACTCTTCGTTCATTAATATTAGTACAGAAAATTAGACGTTGATCCGGGTCAGGCAACAAAAGATCTTGCACTTTTTGAATGTGGTACGGGTGTAGCAATTGTTCGCGAGTGACTCCATTGACAACGTTTTTCGAGACCATTAATTCCGACCCTAAGCGTCTGCTACTTATCTCCGGTTCGTCTGCTACACGATCCAAAATCGCTTCTTCGACATCGGGATTCATTACATAACGTCCACGTCCGTAATCAGCCATCACAGGAGCAAAGCGACCGGTCTCACGAAGACGTCTTTCAACAGCCGCAAACGTTTGATGGTTTGGTACACGACGATTTGGAAACCTGTGAGTATACTCTCTAACGCATTGGCGACCATTTCCACGACAGTATCCAAACACTAATAGCATATCAGTTAACTCTGCGTTACTGTATTGAAAGGCCATATTACAATTTTAACAATGAAATTATAAGTCTTCAAGCAAAACGTAAATTGTTAAAGTTTAAGAAACAACAAACAAACGTTACGCCACTCTAAGGTTTCACAGCCATCGCATGTATGGTGCATGCCATTCATCATGCCTAATTTTTTTTTTTGTAAACCATCACAGATAGCGATATTCATCGAGAGACAAAAAATGCTTGCAAGTAAACTGTCTATCAGTGTCTAAAAATTCAGAACTGTCAAAATAGTAGTTAAAAAGTTTTAGACCTCTTCAGATGTGGATGGTCAGTATTTTACCACCTACATACTACAATCAAAACGATGATATCACAAAGACCCTTTTTACATTAGACATTCACATCCCGAATTTCATTTTAATCGGCAAAACCATTTTCCGATAAAATAAAAATAACGATTTTTTTTTAAATCTAGATAGCGCCTTACCGCACTTTTGGATAGAGGTAAGTTGGGTTAAATCGTCCTATTTTGATACCAAGAACCCCTGGTAGCGCGTTGTACAGACCTTTTAGGGACACCCTGTATACAAAAAAAAACCTATTTTCTACATTAAGAAATTTTAAGAACTCTCCTATGTACACCTCGTCCTTTTCCAGACGCTTCTCGTCTGCTTTTTCCGCCTCTAGCTGCCGCTCCAACTCCGTCTTCATTCTCGCCTCCAGCAGCTTGGCCCGGTACACCGGCTCCATTTGTTTTAGGCTGCTGTAGGTGGTTAGGGGTCTTTGGTTGAAGCGACCCCCCCTCTTGTTGTGACGACTGTAGTGGTTGTGGCGATGATGGTCTTTCGGGGCGGTACCCCTCCTCCAGGTCGACCATCTGCATGATATCCACCAAATTTTTCCCCCTTTTTTTTGATTCTGCTCGGAGAGGCGTGGTCATGACAGTGACTGTAATCAATAAAAAATAATCTGTTACGATGGAGTTCGATTAGTATTTTTCGTACTTCCGAGACTAAAGTGACAACTTCACTCCATTATGACAAGTACTGAAGTGTCACTTTTTGTCCCGCCGGGATTAAATTTGGACGAAAATCCCGGAAGGATGAAATTACTAACAAGGCAATTGGGGTAGGTTGTTCCACATTTTGTATGCGGCACTACTTCTTAAACGCATTGTACTGCTGCTCATATAGTTTTTTGGATTTGGTGGTATCAATTTTTTACCTACTTTGGCTGCTTTTTATCAAAATGAAATACACCTTTGTCACCTACGACCAAAATTATGACACTAGCAATGACAGTTTCCAAATTATTTTTGTTACCATAGCAATAGCATATGGATTGTCGTACCAACGCAACGTTCCTATGGTAACTTTGTTAAGCAGCGATTTTTTGAAAGAACGCGTTCTCTAACTTCATACATATTAAGTGTTTCAGCTTCGGAAGTACGAAAAATATCGTATATACCTTGCGACTGAAGTAGTGGTCTTAATCCCTCAGGTAGATTATGGCCCTCCCTTCGGTCGGGCCATAAACTTTACCTTCGGGATTAAAAGTGCTACTTCAGTCCCGCGGTATATAATATACTATTATGACATAAACTTACGATCGTTTTTTTCCCGCTTCATGGCCGGATTCTGCCGGCGGAGGAGTAGGAGCCGGTGTTGCTGCTGGTAGTGGCGGCGGTGGTAGGTGCAGCTGTAGTGGTGGTGTAGGCGACCGCATGGCCTCGGCGGTTAATGTGGGCGTCGGTACTATACTGAAATTAGAGAATTTTATTGTTAGCGCCTAGAAAATAAAAAATACATTTTTTCTACAACTGTCATAAAAACCTGTCATTTTCTGGCGGATTTCGAAACGCGAAGTACTAGATTTTTAAACGGTTAATTAATAAGTAAGGTTGCTCTTGACAACGTGCGCGAAATCGTCAACAGTGAAAAAAAGTANTGGACGGTGTATTATCTTTTTCAACGAAAATCGTTTAATTCACAAAGACGATGATTTTTATAAGCAAACGTCAAGTGACATTTCCATGGCAATCGTGAAAATACGAACACCCAGCCCACTTAATTAGACATGTATTCGGGTATAACGTCAATATGATTTCATTGTATTTCCTATTTTTAAATTATACTGCAGGTATAATAAAAAATACTATAAGATACACGTGTATAATTGGCCTTTAAAGCACTTGCAACGTTAAAGGCACTCCGCTTTGCGTCGTGCCCTTAAACTCGTTGCGCGTGCTTTAAAGACTTGATTATACACTTGTATCTTAATATACTATTACTTACCGAGCTGGCTCGAAAAGAAAATCTGCGGCGGAATTCCCTTCCAACTGCGCCAGGAGCATATCCAGCTCGAAATTGTCCCCCAAATTCCCTGTTCTGTAAAAAAAATCAATCAAATTTTTAACATAACGAGAAAGAGGGAAATAAATAACTTTAAAAAAATCATAAATATTGCATACTTACGCAAATGTCGAATTATCTGAGTGTATTGTTATTACCCTCAGATTATCATCCAGGAGTGGTAATCCCTGGGGCGGCGGAACCGGATCCATCTGGGTTAACACCCCAGATGGCTTTGGCGGCGGTTTTTCGGTGGCGGTGGTGGTGCAGATCTTCGTCGACGACGTAGTCGGTGCTTTTATTAGCATCGACTGTAGTATCTAAACTTTGGGGACTTTCGGCGCGCGGTTCACCTTTTTCGAAGGTTTTTTTAGTAAGCGATGCCATTATTACAGCTCGATGCTAACTAGTAATTAGTGGGGAAAATTTTCAGTATATATTGTAAAATTGTTGTAATGGTTTGCGGAAAACTAAGGAGAGATTGCGTTAATGAGTGAGAAAGTTAGATCGTATGATTCTGGGATAAAACAGGTGCAGCGGCATGAACTCTTGCGCATATTTGACCCTGAACACCTGGTCTATATAAGGTGAGGGTGACGATACCAACATTACTTGCATCTTCAAATCCCCCCGCGGCTAGTATAGCACGTCGTGCGAGCGCAATACACCATCAACAGTGTCGATTGTACGTACGCGAGGTGTCTATGACAAGGATATCAGTACTCACATATCTTTTTTCCGAGAAAACAATAGTTCTTTAGATAGACAATTCCTGTAAGTAGTGATAATGGAGTCTACATCCGTTGCAATTCTTAGTAGTGAAATAGTTAAGCTGACCCGAAAAGCTGTTGCATTATTAAAAAATAAACCGGAAATGTTGAGACATATTTCGATATTAAGGACAAATATTTCATTGATACAAAATGCAATCAATAATAGAATTCATTTAGACAATCGCCTAGAGAACACCAGTAGGNTTTATTTTACTGTATTCACTCATCCCTATTTTCATTTAATTCTTTACCTTTTAAAGCGCATCCTCCAATGTAACAGATCCCCTTTTTAGTTTTTTCAATCTATCCTCCAATGTAGATTTTGGTACGCCATAATTTAGTGATGCTTTTCTCAATCCCATTTCTCCTCTATTTACCGATTGTATTGCATTTCGCATTTGTTCTTCATCCCATTCCTGCCTCGTCGTTTTTCTCTTATAATTTCGCATGATTAAGCTTGCAATAGTGAATTATCAACGGGGCAGAATCGGACATGTCCGATTTTGCCCCGTCCGATTGTGCCCCACGACACTTCTAAGATAAACATTCATCAAAAACATGTTTTGACTTAACTTTGAATTCATATTTATACATGAAAAGTAAGCGATAATAACCTTATTTCTACTGTATAAAGGCCGTTTCGAAATACGAAAGGTAACATCATTTGTAGGCTGTCTAAAATAATGCGCAAATAAGATTACTTACCCAAAAAAACAACTAAATTTCACTACCACAAAACTAACTTGGTCACAGATCTTACGTTTGCAGCATACAATGGCGGTTGTGTATCGAGTATAATTCAGCAGTTACCCTTGGGATGGCAGCAGCTATTGCCATTTTATGAAGGTGTCCGGTTCTGCCTCGGTATCCGGTAGTGCATCACCTTTCCCCCTACTTTAGAAAGTAATCTAGGAATTTTGAAATTTTATCTGGTTAGGTTACTTCAACAATTAAAAAAGGTTTCCGGAAAAAAGGGGGTTGTGGAATAAGTGATACCGCTACTAACAGTCCTTCTAGTAACAACGGTCCCAAATCTCGTGCCCTAATCTGGCAAACTTTAAATTCTTGCTTTCAGAGTCGACTACTTACCGGTATTATTGTAAATACGATATACAAGGATCCTTTAATATTTTTGGATAGGGCGTTTAATAACATTGCACGAAAGGTTAGGGAAATGTTAAATCAATCCATACTAAAAGTAAACGTGGTTCTTGCATGCGATTTCATACATCCTCAAAGTCTTAATGTAATGTAAAAATGTGATACGATTTACGATACAGGGAAAAACATTAAACTATTTCAAAGGCATGTACCTTACAGCATAGCTTTTTATTATATTTTTATTATTTATGTTGTTGAGAACTTGGCCCTTAAGGACACTGTATTTAAGGTTCAATATTTTAACACTTAAATAACATCACAATTTAATGGACTGTAAAAGAGAAATAAGACTTTTTACGTCTCAATTCATTACCGATAACCTTTACATTTTTAAACAAAGGCAAAATGGGCTTAAATAATGTAGTATTAATAGTTTAAATTGATTTTATACATATCGACCTGCTTCATATCATACGGCTCATTACACTAAACTGAGCGGTACGTTTAATTGTTTAAACAATTTGTCACATTTTTACAATCAAAAACAAACATGATAACTATACTTTGTTATTGAAACATTTAGATTTCCACCCAAATCATCAAAGTTTACTCATATAAATCCTCAACTTTAATTAGAGGGTACCTAAAGTTACGCAATGTACCATATATTTTAAAGGTGAGTGTGGTCTTAGCGTTGGCGGAATTGAATTTAGTATGTTAATAGTATATTGAAGTGTTAGAAGTGTTACAATGCGACCTATTGTAATACAACTATCTTGTGGCACGAGTGGCGACGCGAAGCGTAGCCACGAGTGTCCGCATGATAGGAGTATTACAATAAAGCATTGTAACACGCGTTTTTCATACTATTTTTTCTATTTCGGTGCTTTAATTTAATTAAAAAAATCATTATCAGAAACTATAGGGATCATTAGAACTAACATGTTTTATGTTGGGAACACTTTTTATGCCGTTAAGTTTTAGGTTGGCAGCGTAAGAAGACTGACATTTTGAAGTTCAAACATGGAAGTACCCAACGAAGTACCTACTTGTACTAACTAGTAACTGTCAACTTAAGAGATGAGTTACCAAAAAAAAACGACTATAATCACTGTCTTTGTACAACTGTACAAAATCATGATTGTGACACCGAAATAGAAAAACGTCTTTATTCTTCTGATGGCACGTTCAACATGTATACTGGCTTTCGCGATTGCTGTTGTTTGTGGAACTTCACTTGGGGTGAACTGTGAATTCATAAAAGGGGGTGGAATATTTAGACATACTCCTGCTGGTAAGATGTCTTGTATCAAGAACCCTTTGCCCGCCAATACCAAGTCACCTGGTTGAAGTATCGCTAAAATTACACAATCGCTCATAATTTTTTTATCGGATGTGTTTCCTACATATAGATCACTAAGAAAGGTGGTGGATCCGTTCGGTGCAACACCTACCAACCCTTTTAAAGCATTTGCATGTTGGTAGTTGCTATATGTTTCTTTCTGTGTGTTTATCTGCTGTGGAATTGCTGTGCGAAGTTCTCTACAATCGATTATGATTCTACAATTTATAAGATCTGAAAGCTGTTGCCAAACATTTCTGATTTTTTGACTTAGATGGAACCTTGTTATATAATAATGTTTCACATAACGCAGCGTGCATAACGTGTACCCATGTAAGGAAAATGTTCGATACAGCTCACTTACTGCAATTAAATCTTACTGCTAAGTCCTGATGAAGCAAATTCAACCTTAATTTCATCAATGTCATTAGAATTTGGTCACGTATATTTATTTTTTCCACTCCGGCCATGAAAATAGTTAATTTTTTGCGTTGTTTAGATAATTAAACAGCAAGTTAAACATTTTGCCATCAGGAAGCCCCGTATATATTCTTATGAGTTCATCATTATGCATTATAACTTCATATGAAAATGAAAGCTTCTCTATCCGCTGCTGCAGCATATCGACTTCTTTTTTAAGAAAATAGTTTTCTGCTTCTGTTGCGGTGGACGAGGTGGAAGGTTTATTGATTAGGAATAGCACTGATCTCTGAAGAAGGTGACTCAGTACGAAGATTGAGTAAACTATTTGTTATAAAAACACTAACTACCTTGAAAGTTTCGTATGTGTCCTTTTTTCTGGGGAGGCCAGTGAAAAAGTTTTATTGATATTTCTTGCGTTGGTAAGTTTGATTTGTCTTGTTCCGGGAAATGACAAGAACAAACCACGGAAAATTTGTTTGGTGTTGCATCGCCTTTCCTAGTTAATTTGAGTAATCATTTCATTAATTAACAAAACTAAGCAGAAGTTACCTTATCAATCTTAACCACTTGCTTCAAAGTAGGGTCCTTTGGAAAAGAGAAAACCACTACCATACCTTTTATGTAGCCCGGCACAAAGCACAACCCCATTACGAACAAGTTTGATAAAAATCTTACAATAATTACACTACACAAATTAGTTTCTAGTATAGGGCTGCCGTACGTCCCGGTGCATTGGGACATGTCCCGGTTTGAAGCATGGCGTCCCCGTGTCCCGGTCAGTAAGTAATTTGTCCCGGCACGACCGTTTGTTGTACATTTTTCGATTCTTTAAATGAAGTACCTACCGAAATATCTAATGAAAGACGCGCGCTTGCAGTTTTCATAGGCGCGGCGAATGAAGTGCAGCTCCATACGCGACAGAAAAAGCAGTATTGTTTTAGTCATCTTGTAGTGTAGTTGATATTATTGCATTACTTACGGTTACCGTTACGGGTTTACGGAGTGTTGTGCCTGTCGCTTATTTTGTATTTTTTATTGTCAAACAACCATGCCAAAGAGAAAGTGTTATTTTTCTGATGCTTATACTAAAGAGTGGTCATTCATAAAAAAAGGACGAAACGAAAGTGAAGCTTTTTGTTCGATTTGCGGCATTTATATATCCGTTAGTCATGGCGGAAAGTCAAGTGTAAAAGACCATATTCAGAGCAAAAATCATAAGTCCAGATTGTCGGTTGCATCAACATCAAAAGATATAGCTTCATTTATGGTAAGAGAAAATTCTACTGAAGATACTTTAATATGCGCCGCCGAATTGACCACCGCGTACAAAGTTATAAAGCACCATCAGTCGTTTAGTTCTCTCGATTGCATCACAAAACTGAATGCTGTAATGTACCCATATTGCGTCAAAACAATCAACTGCTAGAACCAAGGCCACTGCTATAATTAAACACATTTTAGCGCCTCACTCCATAGCGCAGATCAAAGTTTCTACGGAATTTCAACAGACTGCAGCAATCATAAAGCCGAAAAAATGTTTCTATTATTAATTCAGTATTTCACGGAAAATGGATTGAAGGTTAGATTATTGAAATTAACCACCTTGCCCAATGAAAAATCCGATACCACTAGTTCATTTTGTATGGAATCGTTGCAAGACCTAAATATCCCCATACAAAATATGGTTGCTTTCAGTGCAGATAACAGAAACACTAATTTTGGAGGAAGAGAAAGACGCGGAGTGAATAATGCTTATTTTAAATTAAAAGAACGTTTGTCCAAAGATATCGAAGGAATCGGCTACCCAGCGCACATACTTCATAATGCTGCTTCCACTGCCTGCGATGTGATGTCTATTGATGTGGAATCTATCGTTCTAAAAATTTATTTATTTTTCTATATTTACTGTGAGGGTCGAACGACTCAAGGAATTTTGCATCTTTGCAGAAATAAATTTTCAAAACATACTCTCTCATTCGAGAAGTAGATGGCTTTCGCTACTTCCGGCTGTCGGAACGCATACTGAAGTTATGGATTCCCTTAAGAGACTTTTTTGCAGCTGAAGAAAAAGCACCAAAAACTATCAAAGATTTTTTTGCTGACCCTTTATCTGAACTTTTCACAATGTTTGTGCACAGTCAAGCATATCTGATTGAAAAGCAAATTAAGATTGAAAGATCAATTATTACAGTTATTGAAGTCAAAAGTGTTCTAGATGACACGAAGAAGCAATTGAACGAGAGATTGCTTAACAATTACTTAGGAAACCCCACACGACAATTATATAAGAAACTCAAGGGTAATGGCGCGATTAATGACACACAAATTAAGAAAATTGACAAAGAAATTAAAGATTTCTTCACCACTGGCCACCCTTTATCCGGAACAGTGGGCTGAACCCATGGCAAAATATGATATTTTTAGTTGGATGGTATTGAATGATGCTCCTCAATGGCAGCAAGTTGAAGAAACTCTAGGATATTTAAATGAAAAGGGTTAGTGGTAGAAGATTCTGTATATGAAGAATATATGTATTTAAAGTCTTTCATTGAAGCTGAAAATATGAAAGACGACGCATGGAAAACAAAAGATATTCAAGAAAAATGGATATACTTTTTCAGAAAAACAGAAGACCAAGAAAGAAAAACAAATCTATTTAAAATTTGTCAATATCTGTTTGCAATCCCAGCTCATAACGCCCACGTCGAACGGGTGTTTTCACTGATCACTACAATATGACATGCATTGAATTTTACAATGACGTAAAACATCAAAAAGAGCTGCTTAAGAAGGCACGAACTTCTGAAAAATATGAATGGGCAAAGAGTAATGACACCGAGCAGTAAGGCTTGCTTTAGTAATTTAGGATGTCGAGCCATGATTGTTCAATGGTTCTGTTTTTTTTTGTTATTATAATATTTTAACAGTCAAATGTATTAATTAACAACCCTATCTTACCTTGTTTTTTTTATTAAAGTTGCAATATGTATATTAAAAGTGTGGACTACAATGCTACATATTAATTGGATTGAGGGGGGGGGGGGGCAAGGCAATGACTATTAGATTTCAGAATAATATAATATGTCCTGGTCGGCACTCCCAACATTTATGGCAGCCCTACTAGGGCTGCCATACGTCCCGACACGTCGGGACATGTCACCGTTATGAGCTCATATGTACCGACGTCCCGACATGAACTCGGAAAGTCCCGATTTAGTGGCCCACTGTAGGGCGACGAATTTGATGTTTTTGAATGGATGGTTTTGGAAGTAACACCAAACTGGGAAAGTGTTGAAAAGACAGTGTTATATCTTAATTCTAAAGATATCCAAATAAATGAAAGTATTTTTGATCAATTTTTGTACATGCAATCGTTTGTTCAGCAAAACATCAAGAACGAAGACTGGAATATAAAAAGCATGCATGAAAAATGGATGTATTTCTTTCAAGAAACAAAAGAAGTTGAAAGAAAAAAGGACCTACTCAAAATGGTTCAGTATTTGTATGCAGTACCAGGCCATAACGCCAATGTTGAGCGAATTTTTTCAATGATATCTTCGCAATGGACGGATGAACGAAACAGTCTTAAGATAGATACAATAGAAAGCATTATGCAGTGCGCTTATAACTTTAAAATGACTTGTGCTGAATTTTATAGGTATGTGAAAGAACAAAAAGACCTTATTAAGAAAGTAAAATCATCCGAAAAATACAGTTGGTACAAAAGGGATTAATTTATTTAAGGTGGCTATTTACTTTTTACTTTTAATTAGGAAGTGAGTAATAAACTTATACCGAGATGTAAAATTAAACATAAAAAAAACAAGCTTAAACTTTTTTGTACCCGGGTGTCCCGACAGTCCTCTGGGAATTTATGGCAGCCCTACATTAGTCCCAAACTACCTACAGGATTCTCAATAATTGCCTGAACCTGAAAATGTTATTTTTTCTTTAACTTACAATTCAACGCAATCGATTATACGAAAACAGGCAAATCCGGACAGTATTGTCCTTCTTAACCGTTGCCATTATGGGAGATATGTACGGGGTAGCCTGGCGTTTAATTACTCCCCATTCTTCCATTTTATTTAATTGACTTCGGACCGCCGGCACCGCTCGGTGCATAACTGGAACGGGATATTGCTTTTTATGAAATTCTGCCATGTCCTTAAGCTTAATGACATGTTCGTATTCTTTCGCACGCCCGGGTATCTCCGAGAAAAGATGTAAATGCCCCTTTTTATTATCGGGAGTGGCGGCTACCTTGATTACCTCCTCCACTTCCGTGTCAACATTTGGAGACCCAAATAGCATGGTATTGATTATATTTGATGTTTACCCCATTTCCCCTTTTCTATTAATTTCAGAAACGGTGATCAATTCATTATATACATTATAAGGAGAAGACCTACGTGACTTCTGGATCAGGAAGTGACGTCACACCAATCAGAGACGAGCACGTGACGTCACAACCAATCAGAGACGAGCACGCCCCCCCTATGCTCCTCCCCTCGGCCAATGGGATACGGTAGGCGGAGTCTTGAGAGCCCTCCCCCTGTGGCGTCTCAGCCAAAGAGCGGTGTGGTCGGCCATTTTGTTGGGCGCCATTTTATTAGTCACCAAATCCGCCATCTTGGATCGGTCGCCATTTTATTAGTTATTAAATCCGCCATCTTGGATCGGTCGCCATTTTATTAGTTACTATATCAGTCATTTTGTTGGCCGCCATTTTGGACCATCTGTCTGTCTGCTTCTCTCGATCCATCCGCCCTCTTTGATGGTATTTTGGACCCGCGTCATCGGTCACGCTATAGAAAATTTTTTTTTGATCTGCGTTGGGAATCGAACCCACGATACCTGAAATAGAAACCTAGCGGGTAACCAACTGAGCCACGCACACTTTGAGAGAGTTAGAGGTTAGAGGTTGAAGTCAATGAACCTGACCTGGCACTATAAAGTGCAAAATATTGTGAAATTCTGCTTTAGTCAGCGCCCAATCATTTTACATTTATTCTTGGTGCATTTAGTGAGCGTGGATTTTGTGTACTGAGTGAGTAATATTTTATTACACAATTTATAATTACGACTGTTACTTTCTGCTATGAAATACATTTAAAGAATAGCATAAAGCAACGCATTTTGTCCGACCCAGACCTTGAATTGTTGAAGTTTCCCTTTTATGTTACTCTAAAGTCTGCGTATGATTCAAAATACGCTGGGCAGTAAAGAGTGCATATTGCTTTTTCACTATTATTGCTTCTAAGATTAGGATTTGCGTATTTCTTACATTGCAGCATGGCTTATAAGCGTTTGTATAATCCCAGCAACTCGGTAGCGGCGTGCTTTCGCAAACTATGGACATTCGAACTATATCTAATTCTGAAACGACACAAATTGAACTTCCTGGGAGTGATCTCCTCCAATCTTCAACGTCGACAACGGTAAAGCCACAAATTGAACTTGCTGAAAATGATCCCCGACCGTCAACAACAAGAAAAAGAAAAATTGAACCTTCTGTACGTGAAAGCCAGCCTTTTGTATCTGCCACAAATAAGAAAAAACCACCAAGATCATGGATCGAAAAAGATCTAACTGTGCTAGCCGGAATGGCAGAGGACATCTTTACTATATATATACTCAATGTCCGGAGCCTGATTTTGTTGGTATACTGAAGGAGAACAATCAACAACCTATTGAGCTCTTCAAAAAGTTGTTCGACGATACTATTATGACCCACATTTGTAAAGAGACGGTAAAGTACGCATCACAAAAAGGAGCAAGTTTCACTTTATCCGTTGATGAATTATACCAGTATTTTGGAATTTTAATTTTATCCGGATACAATCAACTACCATCTAGAAGAATGTATTGGGGGACCAAGAACGACACACACAATTTTGCTGTTAGCAAAACAATGAGCCGTAATAGATTCGAACAAATCCATAGGTATTTGCACTTCAATGATAATACCAAAATTGATAAGAATGATAAGGTATACAAACTAAAGCCTCTAATAGATCACTTGAACCAATCTTTCCAAAAATTTATTAGGCCATTGGGTGGTAGTTTTTCTAGATGAAGCGATGGAACCTTACTATGGGCACCATTCCATGAAGCAGTTCATCAGAGGAAAGCCCATTCGGTATGGGTGTTTTGGCCAAAGCAATATTTGAATTGCGCGCCTGTGCGCGGTCATTTTTGTAATGTATAGTTTGCGCGCTTTGTAGCACTTATGTTTAAGACTGCATGTGAGCAAGCACGTTTAAGTATGTATTTCAATGCAGTGCAATAAATGTGCAATAAGTCGTTTAAATCGAAGTAGTTTTATTCAACGCTTCGCAACATGGTCCTTCGGCCGCATGGTTGTTAGAAAATAGATTCGAAGGTACGAACAAGAAGGTACCAACCATTGGAACGATCAAGGGACAGGACGCCGCCATTAGCCACCTACGTTGCATGTTGCATTATACTTCCTTTTGCGTTTGCATCGCTAATCGCCACCGAGGTCAACCGTCAACCCGAACGAGTTCCAGGTAACCTTCCCTAATATTTATTTCGTATTCCTTATCAATTTTGCCTCGTTTAAGTTTACGAATGTTGATGCGTCTTGCCAATCTTTTATTTTGATCTGGTATTTACAACGCAGTGTATTTAATCAGAAGCCTCGCCTCGCATACACACGAATTTACAATTTGCTCGTAATTACCTGGTAGCACTTACACCCATTTTTTGCGTAAATATTCGTAAATACAATATTGTGACTCTCTCTGTACGACGAATTTTCAATTTCATAATAACCTGCTTGTTACATTTTGCGTTTGTTGCCGTTGTCCGCAATGGAAAGTTTAAAAAGAACTCGCACTGCTATCAAAGCTACGTTAACGAAATTTGAAACTGTCGTGAATACTTTAACGGTCAAACATGAGACCGAATGTGCTCTAGGGGAAGCAGAAATAATACAATTGCGGCGTAGGTTATCCAATGCAGAAGCACTGCTGGCTCAATTTCAGGATATTCAAATCCAAATCGACGCCAGCAATAAAGACGCGCAACCCGACGAAAGTCAAATTGATGAATTTGAGGAAAGATATTACGTAATTATTTCAGCCGCAAAACAGCTGTTAAATAAATGCGCTCCTTCTAATTCAACAAATTCTAGTAACACAGCCAACATCTCAATTTCAGAGGAAGCTGCCTCAAAAAATCGCTTCATTAAATTGCCCAGCATAAATATACCGAATTTTACGGGTGAACATCAAGAATGGTTGAATTTTCGCGATATGTTTACTAGCCTGATCCACGATAATTCAAATTTATCGGAAGTGCACAAATTGCATTACTTAAAAGCGTCCTTATCTGGGAAGGCCGCAGAAATTATAAAAAATTTGTCTCTAACCTCCGATAATTATGAACTTGCGTGGACCGGTCTAAATGATCGATACAATAACAATAAAATTTTAATTCATCATCATATAAAAGGGTTATTTAGTATTGAAACTATGGGCAAGGAGTCCTCAATCAAATTAAGAACATTAGTGGACATATTTAAACGAAATTTAAGATCTTTCGAGAGCCTTGTAGACCCTATCTTCCAAAGAGATGCCTTGCTAACCTATCTTTTGTATTCAAAATTGGACTCTACTACCACGCGCGAATATGAAAACTTAAATACGAATTCCACAGTTCCGAATCTTTCAGATTTGATTGGTTTCATCGAAAGGAAGGCGTCGTTGCTTGAAACACTTGAGCATCGTAACTCAAAACCTCCCTCGATATCTGAAAGACCTCAATCTAAATCTTTCGTCGTCAAAGAGCAACGTTGTGCGTTTTGTAGTGAAACCCATTTCATTTTTCATTGCGAAAAATTTAAGAATCTCGCAGTTAGTGACAGAATCGCAAAGGCGAAACAGCTTAAACTATGCTTAAACTGTCTCTCTAGAGGTCATGTAAATAATAAATGTAAATCAGCGTATAAATGCGCTACCTGTAAGTTGAGGCATAACACTCTGTTGCACTTAAGCAAAGCGCAACCTACTCCCAATGTGGAAGTCAGTGATAATATAGAGTCATCCCCACCTGCAAATACAGTTGCTGCAGAAAAGGCTACCGTTGCCTCATTACTTGTTCACCATACCAATGTCTTATTGTCCACAGCGGTTGGTGACGCTCTGGATTGCACTGGCAACCCGAGAGAGGTACGCATGCTCTTAGATTCGGGTAGTCAAGGGAATTTCATCACTGAAAAAATGTCTAAGCGTTTGAATTTAGACAAACAAGACATAGAAATCAACGTTACAGGTCTAGCTAACCGCCACTCGCTGGTCAAAGCTCAATGCAAAGTACGCTTATTTTCAAAACATAACAAATACTCCTTGGAAACCTCGTGCCTGATAATACCCGAAATTACTGGTTCTGTACCTAGTCAAAACATTGATGTTTCTCAATTATGCATTCCTGTCGGCATAAAATTGGCCGATCCTTATTTTAATGTTCCTCAAAGCATTGACATTTTGCTGGGTGCTCACGTTTTTTACGAATTAATGTGTATAGGACAAATTTCGTTAGGCCCACAGAAACCGATATTACAAAAAACTCGCTTTGGGTGGGTTGTCGGCGGACCCATTAACTTTCCTCAGCCCCCTGTAACAATGCGGTGCAATTTAGTTGCAATCGGTGTGCAGGAACAATTAGCTAGGTTTTGGGAATTGGAGGAATTACCGTCTGACAAACCGCGATCATTAGAAGAGATCGAATGTGAGTCAAACTTTGTGAAAACAACACAACGTGACCCCGAGGGAAGATTTATAGTAAAAATTCCTATGAAAGATACCGTCTCTAAACTAGGTGACTCGTACGAATATGCAAAAAAATGTTTATACTCGCTCGAAAGGAGGCTGAAGGTCAATGCAGACCTGCGCATAAAATACCATACCTTCTTAAAGGAATACGCGGATCTCAAACACATGACTCCCTCATGCAGCACGTCAAAAAATTCTTACTATTTGCCTCATCATGGCGTACTTAAAAATGAGAAGGTCACAACCAAATTGAGAGTTGTCTTCAACGCCTCAGCAAAGACCACAAGTGGTCGTTCCCTTAACGAGTTACAGGCAGTAGGTCCAGTCATACAAAGAGACCTATTTTCCATTGTCGTAAGTTTCAGAATGTACAGATATGCCATATCAGCAGACATTGAAAAAATGTATAGGCAGGTACTCATTTGTCCCTCGCAAAGACACTTGCAACGCATTTTGTGGCGAAACAATGATGCGGAAGAACCTTTGAGTTATGATTTAAATACAGTCACCTACGGCACTGCCGCCGCTTCTTTTCTGGCCGTGCGTAGTCTGTATCAATTAGGCATCGAATGTGAAAGTACGGCACCTGATATATCAAACATAATAAAGAGAGATTTTTATGTCGATGACTTGATGACGGGAGCCGATACTATGGAGCAGGCGCAAAAAATTTGCCGCGAACTTCCAAAAATTCTAAATTCGGGCTGTTTCCCTTTACGAAAATGGATGTCAAACGATCCGAAGGTTCTAGAAAATATAGAAGCAGATTCCATTCACCCCCATCTATTAGAAATAGGCTCACATGAGCACACAAAAACTCTAGGTTTGTCATGGAGCTTTCATTCTGATCGGCTCATCTATTTCATATCTAAACCAAATTTCGAAAAAGCAACAAAAAGGGCAATTCTTTCCGAAACTGCTCAAATTTATGACCCTCTGGGCCTGGTAAGTCCATGCACTGTAGCAGCTAAGTTAATTTTGCAGCAAATATGGATACTCAAGTTGGATTGGGATGACAATATACCAAAAAATTTATATGAAAAGTGGTACACTCTGAGATCAGAATTAATCCTATTGAACGATCTAAAAGTTCCCAGGCAAGTTACTTGCATTAATCCAACAAAACTAGAAATGCATGGCTTCTGCGACGCCAGCACGCAAGCTTATGCCGCCTCAGTATACATTAGATCTGTGGATATTGATGGCCATGTAAGCGTGCACCTTTTGTGCGCCAAAAGCAAAGTAGCGCCTTTAAAAACAATTACTGTGCCGCGTCTAGAGCTTTGCGGAGCGCTATTACTGACTCGCTTGACCAACACAATTGTACAGGCTACTAGTGAAAAGGTCAAAGAAGTGTACCTTTGGACCGATTCCACGATTGTCTTGGGTTGGTTAAAAACTCCCCCAAACCAGTTAAAAACATTTGTTTCGCATCGTATTGCCGAAATCCAAACTTCATCCGCAAATTGGAATTGGCTACACGTACCCACCGACCAAAATCCCTCAGATTTACTTTCAAGGGGTTGTTCGCCATCACAACTTACATTATAAATAATAATGTATGGTGGGAGGGCCCTAAATTCCTCAAATGTAGCAGAAATGAATGGCCTTCATTAGAAATAACGGACGTGAACCTCCCTGAAATTAAACAAAACTCTACTTGCGTGGTTGCCAAGATGGACCCTTCAAGGGAAGTAATTTTCGAATTTAATAAATACTCCAGCCTGACTAAACTTGAAAAAATAATAGCGTATTGTTTGAGATTTAAACACAACTGCTTAAATGGTAAAGAAAAGAGATTTTTCGGACATTTGTCAAAATCGGAGATGGATAAGAGTCTAAATTGTTTGCTCTTGATTTCCCAAAAGCAAAGTTTTCCCGGGGAACTCCGTTGTCTGCAAAATAAGCGCCCATTGGCTTCAAAAAGCCCATTATTAAGTTTAAATCCTTTCATAGACCAAGTAGGATTACTTCGGGTAGGTGGGAGAATAACTCAATCAAATGAAACTTATAATAGAAAACACCCAATAATCATAGACGGTAGAAACGAACTGTCAAAATTAATCTTTATGCGAGAGCACATTCGATTACTGCATGTTGGGCCCCAAACCTTACTATATAGCGTAAGAGAGCGATTTTAGCCTACAAATGGTAGGAACATTGCGCGACATACGGTACATAAATGTTTAAAATGTTTTCGCGTTTCTCCAATCAGTAATACCCAAATCATGGGCAGCTTGCCGGCAGACAGAGTCACTAAACACTTTCCTTTTTCTGTTGTTGGCGTTGATTACGCTGGCCCACTAATAATTAAAGACAAGAAAGGAAGAGGCAGTAAATCGTCAAAATGTTACGTTTGCGTATTTATTTGTTTTTCCGTCAAGGCGGTGCATATAGAGGTCGTTAGTGACCTAACAACAAATTCATTTTTAATGGCTTTGCGACGATTTGCTGCCAGACGTGGTAAACCAGCTAAGATTTACTCAGATAATGGCTCGAACTTTGTTGGTGCCAACAACAAATTAAAGGATTTTCTGGCATTCATCAAATCAAACAATGCAGACATTAGTAATTCTTGCGTAGACGAAGGCATTGAATGGCACTTTATCCCTCCCAACTCTCCCCATTTTGGCGGGTTATGGGAGGCTGGCGTAAAGAGCGTGAAGAGTCATCTGCGGAGAGTGGCTGGAAACGCATCCTTAACGTTTGAGGAGTTAAACACGCTCCTTGTGCAGATCGAGGCAGTATTGAATTCACGCCCTCTTTCTCCTCTCTCTTCCAACTCCCAAGACTTATCCGCATTAACACCCTCACACTTTCTCGTTGGACGACCGCTTACGGCAATCGTTGAGCATGATCTCACAGCAGTACCTAGCAATCGACTTCAGCGTTTCGAGCACATCCAGCAGATATTGCAACATTTTTGGCGCAGATGGCAGAGGGAATATCTGTCTGAGCTACAAGAGCGCAAGAAGTGGAGATCCAATATCGGTGATCAACCCAAGGTGGGTCAACTAGTTCTAATAAAAGAAGATGGACAGCCCCCTCTACAGTGGAAGTTAGGCAGAATAGTAAAACTTCACAGCGGACGGGACGAAATTACTCGAGTTGTAACACTGAAAACTGAGCACGGGGAAATGCAGCGCTCAGTAGCCAAGCTGTGTCCACTTCCAAATCAATCGCCATCAGCATCCTAGGGCTCTTAAGGAGCTACAACGCAACACTAGTGCTTCGAGTTCAAAGTGCTTGTGCCAACCCTTTGTTTTTTTTGTTGTCTGTCAACATTTTGTAAATGTAGTATGAACTTGATTTCAATAGCAAGTATACGGAACATTACTTTGCAGCATGTTTTTTTTTTATTTTCAAATTTTATATTCAAATGTAATGAAGAAATGTTTATTTGCAGTGTTATGTATTAGCCAATTTAATTGGGATATGTGTTTGGTTACCTTATTAAATGTATCACAAACATTTTGTTAGTGTTAAAACGCTCAATACGTTTTAAGGCGGCCGCTATGTTTTGGCCAAAGCAATATTTGAATTGCGCGCCTGAGCGCGGTCATTTTTGTAATGTATAGTTTGCGCGCTTTGTAGCACTTATGTTTAAGACTGCATGTGAGCAAGCACGTTTAAGTATGTATTTCAATGCAGTGCAATAAATGTGCAATAAGTCGTTTAAATCGAAGTAGTTTTATTCAACGCTTCGCAACAATGGGTATAAGTGGTGGTGCTTAGCCACACATTACGGGTATTTAGTATCATTCTACCCTTACACTGGAGCAAGAGACAAAGAGCAAGGCAAACCGCTAGGTAGTTCTGTCACAGCAAAATTGTGTGTAGGATTTTTGCCACCTAATTCTACCATCTATATTGATAATTATTTTACATCTTTACCATTATTAGAAGAACTCAAAGTTAAGAAAATCAATTGTATAGGCACAATTCGAAAAGATAAGAGTTGAACGCGCTCCACTAAAAGATATGAAAAAGGAATCACGAGGTTTTTTTCACGCTTTGCAAGATAAAGGCAGTGAAATTACTCTTATACGATGGAACGATAATAATGAGGTCACTATGGGAACAAATTTATCTCAATCTGAGGTATTCTCAAAGAGTACGTGCAATCGGTGCGTGGTCCAAAGTAGAACGAAAAATCATGTGTTCCCCAACCTACTTTAGTAAACTTATATAACAAAGGAATGGGCGGAGTTGACCTATTTGACAAGCAAAGAGGACTTCACCGCATTCGGATTCCCTCCAAGAAATGGTACTGGCCGCTATTTAGGTTTTGTCTCAATGGAAGTTTAGTCAATTTGTGGCTTCTTTATAGAAGTGCAAATAAAAACATCAGTCTAATTCAATTCATCAGATGCATAACCCAAGATTTGCTTGCTGCTCCTGATTTTGAAAAACCTCGCGGCGTCCGGCCTAAATCATCAAATCAAGTTGCAAAAGAAATTCGCTTAGACAATTTGTCACACTTTATAGAAAAAATTTCTACACAAAGAAGATGCGGAAAATGTGGAAAATGCACAAAATTTCGATGCATAAAATGTAATGTTGGGCTTCACCCAGATGGTTGTTTCCTCAGTTTTCATATTCAATAAACCTTCTATTGCTATTTTGTACCTTATTAAGGTACGTTTAGACCTGATACATATTGCATGATATTTGTGTCTGACAGAAATTGTGACTAATGTAAATGGAAAAGAATTTATGTCAGAGATATTTATTTCAACTGTCAGCTATTTGTGTCGACACTTATTATCAGTAGTGTAAACGCTGTTTAGTTGGAAGGTCAAACTCGTTCGACACATATTGCAAAAGTTGGTTGATCGTCTACTTTTCTGGCGATAAAATTTAGTGTCGTGCAAATATGGCTGATGTTAAAAAAGAGTGGTTAAAAGCCGAAATCGAGGAATTAATTATTATGTACCAGGGCAAACCGGTATTATGGGATGTTAAAAGCAACATTTATAAAAACAGGGTGAAGAAACAAGATGCCTACCAGGAAATGGCAGAAGAATTTAATACGACAGTAGAAGAGATTCAAAGGAAAATTCACAACTTGCGAAACCAATTTAACAGTGAATTTAAAAAAAGCAAAAAGAAACAATCCGGCCAGGGCACTGACGAACTGTATGTGTCTAAATGGCCCTACTATAATTTGTTGTTATTTCTACAAGGAAGCTCGGAGTGCAAAACAGCAACAGGAAATTTTGAAAAAGTAAGTGAAAATGTCTATCGGTTAAATTTATTTATTTTAGTTTAAAATCGTTTTACATTTTACATTAGTCTGTATTGCCAATTAACTTCCCCTTGGCTGCTTACAAAATATTCCCTATACTCTTCCCGTACTTCTTTAGCGTTCCTTGAGTAGTTATTACTGCCTTGCTGCACCAGTGGTTGTAGACTTGCGGCCTCCGAATTTTCATGTCGCCATTTGCCCTGTATCATTTCTCCCGTTTCCAAATTTTCTCTATCAAAGGTACCTTCAGGAGCGTAGGTATTTGCAGAATATGTATCAGACAATAGCCAATTATGTAAACTGCAAGCAGCTAAAACTACAGACTCTACACGTTCTGGGGCAAGAAGAAGCGGTTTCCTTAACACTCTAAATACACTTGACATAATACCAAAGGCGTTTTCTACTATTCTTCTTGCTCGAGACAGTCTGTAGTTAAAAATTCTCATGGAACCTTTACTATTAAATGAATACGGCTTCATAATATGAGGTTGTAATGGGAATGCATCGTCCGCTACAAAAACATGTGGTACACATAATGTTCTTCCTGGTAGAGGGGTCTTTTTTAATCCTGCTGACGCAGTTTCAATGAAATCTGCAACTCCACTGGCTCTAAAAACACCACCATCTGATACTCTCCCATTGGCTCCAACTGAGATGACAAGGAATTTGTACGCGGCATCAACAATTGCCATTAAAACAATACTATGCTGCCCTTTATAAAAATAATAACTTCCGCTATTCTCCGGAGCTTGGATAACAACATGTTTTCCGTCAATAGCCCCCAAACATTTAGGGAAGTGCCATTTCTGTTCAAAGTTGTTGGCAACACTTTGCCAATCATCTGATGTAGTCGGTGCCTGCAACAAAAATTAAAAAAAAGATTTGTTACAAGTTATACCTCACTTAATTAATTACTTTAATTATATTTTAGGACGCAACCGAAAACAACACGCCATCTGACAACCAAGGTATAATAACATTGGAACAGTCTGCCGAAGAAAATCGATCTGACGCCACACCTAAGTCGCAAAATAATGAGCCTAATCCCAGGAAGAAGAGAAAAATTGAAGTTTGTGATAAAAATAAATTAATCATGCAAAAAGCTATACACGCATTGTACGAAGAAGACGATGTCTATGATGTTTTTGGCAAATATGTTGCATCCGAAATGAGAAGTCTCTCTTCTGAATATTTACGTAAAAAAATGAAAAGACAATTTCAGGAAGTTATACTGCGCATAAATGAAGAAGATGAGCTACTATCAAGCCCCACATCTCATCACAGCTATAGCAATCCAAATTCGGTTGCTTCTCAAAGCTACAGCAATCCAAATTCAGTTGCTTCTCAAAGCTACAGCAATCCAAATTCAGTTGCTTCTCAAAGCTACAGCAATCCAAATTCAGTTGCTTCTCAAACCTACAGCAATCCAAATTCAGTTGCTTCTCAAAACTACAGCAATTCATATTCAGTTGCTTCGGTTCGTGGATATGTGGGGTCTCCAGAACATTCTGCACACTATACAACTTTATTACAATCATCAGACACCTTAGCATCTTACATACAGACTCAAACTGAAAGTAATAACTCATAATCTACTTAAACAATTACCTTAATGTAATCTTCTTTTAATGCTCACATTATTGCTCTGCACACTTCAGGAACAATGAGGCTTATTGTACATTTTGGTATTCTGAATAGGTATTGTAGGCTGGTGTATGAATCACCTGTAACAAAATATAATAAACAATATACTTATTATTAATAAACTTTCAATAAAAAGAATTACTTTATTTAATAATAATAGTAGGCACCTATACTTACCAGAAGCTAAAAATCGCAAAGTTAAAGCAAGTCTTTCTGTTGTACTAATAGCTTTCCTGAATTTTGTATCCTGTTTTGAAATAAGGGGTCCAATTTTACACACAAGCTTTTCAAAATCAGTAGGTTTCATCCTTAAAAAATTTGAAAACTGTGCTGGATCTTCAATACAGAGTTCAGACATTAATTGAGTGTGGGCACCGAGATTATTACGTCTCCAAATCCACTCTCGAACCCACACAGAACGTTTTTTCTTCTTTTTCATAGAATTTAATAGAATAATAAATAGAGGCCGCGACTTTTCGTTTAGATGCTTTCATTATTCAAAAATAAACTGTCTGAAATGATGACCCACGACAGAAGTGTTCGCAATAATTTGTATTTAAATGTAGACTGGTCGTACATTTATTTTAAACATTTCTGTATGTATAGCTTTTCGAGGACTGTCGTATACTTATCTATGACATAAATTTCTAGCAATTGGTGTCAGATGTAAACAGTCGAAGGTATTTTCTCTCTGACACTCGACATATATTTCCGGAAAGAACTGTCAGATGTAAACGTACCTTTAGGTACTAAGTTTAGAATTACAATGTATGTTTGAAAGTATTAATTAGACGAATAAATCTACATATTTTCTTCATTAACTTTATTTAAAACTTTTATCTTAAAAATTGTCCTATATGATCAGCGTATTTTATATCATACGTCATAAATAAGGGCATTAAATTATAGATAATGGAAATATTTATACTAATTATGATAAATAGTATGCTAACAACCCACGGAACTTAATTTTGGGATTATAAGTCAAAAATTGAATTTTGGGCATTAATGGGTTAAATGAGGCTAGCTTAAAACAATAATTTAATAGTAACGTAGTAGACTATTTGATGGATCGATTAATGCAATTCGAGGAGCAAGACAGTAGTTGGGCACTATCCAAGATAATTTCGTTAACCGTGAACTTAAACAGCGTAACATTATTGCATGCGTCATTTATAGAATTACCCAAAGAAATTCAAGTTAAAAAAGCGGTCATCAATGTTAAAAACAATGATGAGGCGTGTTTTGGGTGGGCGTTGTCATCAGCCCTCCTCCCCGCTACCCGACATACCGATCGCATATCATCATATCATATATATATATATGTATATATATATATCCATATTATGCGAAATTATATATATATATATATATAATGCGAAATTTTAAATTTTGATGGCATTAGTTTCCCCCCATGTCTATAGATCAATTACCAAAATTTTTAAAACAAAATTCAAATTTATCTATTAATATTTACGGTCTTATTAGGAAAACAAAATTTGATTATGCCACCGTTCCCATTTATTTAACCGATGAAAAGAACGCTAACCACGTAAATGTACTTATGATCCAGCAGAACTATGGTGACAAGGGTATTGAGCCACAATACCGTTCTTAATAGTGAGGAGTCCGATGATCCTGTTCGATTTCATTTTTTGTCTAGATTGGTACGTTCACAGTTGAGGAAAAATCGCGGAAAACTGTATATTTGCGATAGGTGTCTCCACTATTTTAATTCGATAGATAAACTTAGGGTTCATGAGCTAGATTGTAAGTTAGTTAATAAGTGTAAGATAAACATGCCAAAGCCCGGTTGCGTAATTCCTAAATCCAATACTGTGTAACGCAGCTCGATAGAAGCCACGCCCGCCGTACATCGCAGCGCACAATATAATACACTGCAGCGCTTTGGCCAAAATGTAATGTGCTGCAGCGCAACCACTGTCACAACTCTTGGATTCAGAATTACTCCAACTCGTAATGCATAGGCAACTGGTCGTTTTGTAACATAACTAGATCGGATTGGAGCTCGCGTCGCTCGCTCCTACCGATCACGGCGTTTTGTTATCACACGCCGTTTTTTGTGGTTTTCAGTTTGTAAATTTTTTGTTTAGCTCGACCGTTGGGCGATTGTAGTTTGGGTTGTTTGTAAGTGACGTTGGAATTTTATAAAATGCAAAAAACAAAGGAAAAGAATTTTGATTCGGCTCAAAAAATAACCAATATATCGATAGTCTTTTTTTTTAGTCAAACTCGGCGTATGTGTGGGTAAAAATGCTACGCATTTTAAGACTTCGCTAGAGTGAGTATATTTTGCAGAGATATCGCCGAAAATGGGGATAAGTTTTTTAGAACATCACTTATACAAAGTAATTTTTTTAAAATTTCGATTCAACTTGTTAAATCCAGATCCGCACATAATTGTACATAAGATTCTTTAATTTTGATAACATTTTTTGGTTGTAATAAGACATACGCTCAGTGTGATTTGTAACGGTGTATAGTTCGGCTTCGCCTCGTACTGGTTACTGTTAGACAATTTTTCAGTTTCAGTTTTGTTGCGGTAAGAAAATGATATTGAGCAAATTGAATTGACATTTTTTTTGTATTTGTGAAGAATATTTTTGTTTTTTGGAAACATATGCAAAGTTTTTCGAAAATTTCGATTCAACTTGTTGTTTCCAGTTCCTAACATAATTGCACATAAGATTTTTTTAAATTTTGGTTAACACTTTTTGGTTTTGAAGAAAGGCCTCACTATAATTCGTAACGGTGCATAGCTTGGCTTCGCCTTGCATTGTTCACTGTTCAACAAAGACAATTTCTCAGTTTCAATTTTGGTGCGGTAAGAAAATGCTATTGAGCAGACTGAATAAACATTTTTTTTAATTTTTGAGGAATATTTTGGTTTATTGAACAATAATTAGCTTCATTTATAATTTTTGTTTGAATTTGTCTTTTAAAATAGTTAAAAAAATTGTCTTAAATCTACAAATAACCTAATGTCCCAAGCGAAGGGATGGTCTGTGATGCCGAACTCGTCCTCGGCTCGTTTGGAATTGATGTGAAAAAGTGTAATGTGCGATTGGCCATCGGTAAATGTAGTTTGCCACCCTGGACGTAGAGAGTCTAAGGGAGGGCCATTGGTATGAGACGTGTGTGTTAAGAATCGAAAGTCTTTGATTATGTTACTTGGTTGGGAAAATGGTTATTAAAAATTTTTGTTTGAATTTTTAGTTCAAAGTTAAAAAAAATTTCATAAATCTACAAATAACCTAATGTCCAACGCTGCTTGTTGTCATATTCAATTTAGTTTCATTTTTTGTTTGAATTTGTATTTCAAAAAAGTATATATATAAAAGATTTGCACTGTTCAACAATGATAATTTCTCAGTTTCAGTTTGGTAAGAAAATGCTATTGAGCAGATTGAATTAATATTGAATTTGTGAGAAATATTGTTTATGAAAACATCACTTACACAGTGATTTTTTAATGAAAATTTCTTATTCAAATTGTTGAATCCAGATCTGCACATAAGATTTTAAATATTATTATTGTACTATTGGGTTATCACAATTAGGATTTTTTTTTAAATAACAAACGCATTAGGTAATATTATCTTCCGTAAGATCAATATTGAATTCCATGTGTGAATCGTACTGTAGTCTTCTGTTTGCTGTTCATTATAATTTGTAGTAGCCTCATAGCGTTTTCGACTTACTGCAACTTTTTTACATGTTCGACTATAATAGCTAGCAACGAATGCAATTTTACGTCCTTAAGTCGAACAGATATAAGAAAGTTGCACTGTGGTAAGTCGAAAATAATGCAGACGTAGTGTGCACTAATGCAGTAAGTCGAAAACGCTATCAGATGATATTGTATAAATAGTAGGTAAAATAAAAAACAATAAAATAAATATTTAATTATATATTCTATAAATATTTATTCGTTGGTCTATCGCACAAAGGTGTTAAGTGAAAAATATGTAATATATACTTACAAAAATAACTAAAATTTAACATTTCAACATTTATTATCCCTCTCTTGTTCTGGGCCCTCAACAGGCTTGCACCCAATTACAGAGTGACTCGCATAATGCTTGTTAGAGGTGTATTAATTGTTGTATCATTTAAAATAAGTTTTGTTTTTTAACGAATTATTTTTTTTTAACTACACAACTGTTTGATAATACAATTGAAAAAATTTGAATAAACTGTTTGATAATGCAATTGAAAAAATTTGAATAAACTGTTTGATAATAATTGAAAAAATTTGAATAAACTGTTTGATAATACAATTGAAAAAATTTGAATAAACTGTTTGATAATGCAATTGAAAAAATTTGAATAAACTGTTTGATAATACAATTGAAAAAATTTGAATAAACTGTTTGATAATGCAATTGAAAAAATTTGAATTAACTGTTTGATAATGCAATTGAAAAAATTTGAATAAACTGTTTGATAATGCAATTGAAAAAATATTACTTAACACCTGTGTACGATAGACCGACGTATTAAATTTATAGAACTTATAACTTTTATTAGGTAGGTAATTATTATTTACCTAATAAAAGTTATAAGTTCTATTATCATAGTAGTTTGTGTAACCCCGCCCACCTCTAAAATTATTAAATCGTCCTCCTCTTCCTCTTCCTCTTCTTCCATTGAAATTTCCTCTTCTCCCCCTTACTTGCCCCCTGTAATTGTTCCCTCCTCCTCTCTTGCTCACCTCCCAATCTCTTTGCTTTCTTTTCTGTAAAATTTATATGTATAGTAATTTTTAAATTAAAAAAAATATAATTTTTAATATAAGTAATTATTTTTTTTACTTAATTTAATTTTGTTAATAATTAGACTATAATTTATTTATTAAACACATGCAGTCAAGTCCCTATCAATAAATTTTGGTTAATGTAATAAGACATTCGTTTTGCACTCATCAAATTATAGAAATTGGGAAATTTAAAAATTGCATGTCACATTGACACGATTAAGTTATACTTAAGGCTACCTACATGTTTTGAATATTAGCCTT